TTTTGTATATGCGAAAATTAACGAATGTTTAACGAATTAACGAATTAACGAACGAAACCGCACAGGCCTAATCAGTACATCATATCTGCTCGCTTGACTTCCCAAACCTATCTTGACAACAAGCAGCTACATCAAGTAACAGACCAGAATATAGAAAAATGGTATTTCAACCACAACCATCTCTGATGTGGTAAGGAATTGTGAAAGGGGTCCTCCTTTTTCATTGGCAATAGAAAGCTGGAAACCTTATTCTCCTGTGCCCTGATCTCCAGCAAAACAGATCTCTGTCACTCAGAATAGCAGGTGGTTATTAATATAGGTGGGACACATTTAGCAATAGTGCTACAATCCTGAATATGAAGCAGGACTGAATATTGAAGCAGGATTCAAGACCGTGAATCTGTAATTGCAATGTAGGTTGTCAGCTTGTGGACCTACTCATTAAGAGTGCTACTTGTCCCTTTGGTTGACTGTGCAGCAGAACATGTAATCAAATTCATGACCAAATGTGCATTGTATGCACATCTGTGTGCACAATGGGATTGAATGGTTGACTCTGCTTCTGACACCATGAACTGAATGTGGATTCTTTGCATTAGATAAAACTTTCCAGCCACTCCCATAGGGAATCATACACATGAATAAGCAACCAACAAGGTTCTAGTCAATTAACTTTGCGTTCACATGCAACTAACACCAGTGCTTTGAACTGTGTTCATAAATATTTATCTGTCAAATGAATAATATGAGTTAACTGAATCTTCAAAGGAAGCTCCACTTATATGTTATAATATGTGAGGTTACCAGAGCACAGATTGCCACAGGGTAGGAGTTACTCTTTGGAAAAAAAATCCATCCCTGACACATCATCCTTAGTAGATGGAAAATACTCAGTGCCACAAAGATAATCTGAGCCTCCAGGCGCAAAACTTGCCTTAGGAGCTTGCCCAGAGATAGCAAAAATTTTCAGAAAAGAGAATTGTGTGCCTCTACAGACAAGCATACCTTTTGTCCCAGCAATACATCTTTTTGGATTGAACTCTGGTTCCCTGGATCACACTCAATGCTAGAGCCAAATTTAGCACATTGGCTGCCTCAGCTGATTCAGGTCTTCTCACAGAAACAAAGGAGCAAAAATGTTACTTATCAGTGGCATACTGTTGACATTCCTGTCTAAGAAATCCTTGGATCAGTAGCATTTTATAGATGATAAAAGTATGTGAGGTGGGATAGATCTCCAGAAAAGCAAAAGATCTGATAGGAACTGGGATTTTAAACCCCAGTTCCTCTTGTGATGGAGGCCACACAGCTAGCCTAAAACCTGGGGTTTTGCAGGGAGGTGTCCAGATACTCACCCCTGCTGATCTGAGATAAGCAGGGTGGGCATCATGGGTACTGCCAGCCTTCCCTTCCCTTCCCCCATTTCCCCCTGCACTTACTGAGAGAAGACTCTGACAAGCCCTAAAGCCTTTCTCCCTCACTCCTCCTCCTCTGGAAGAGCCAAAAGAGAGCTTTGGATGGGGAAGTGGGTATTTTTGCTCCAAGGCTCCCTGTTGGATTTTCCAGGGAGGAGGAAGAGAAGCAAAGGCGTCAGACCAAATTTTTTTGAAGGCTCCCCGGTAAGTTTTTTTTGGGGGGGGGAGGAGCCAGGAAGGGAGTTCAGGCAAGGGGAGGGAAGGAAAATATGTGTTTTTTGAAATTTAGGGTCACACGCATGAAGATGCAGTTCTTTTGGTCAGAAATTGGATAAAAGAGGAACTTTTTATTCCAAGGTTTCCCTCCTAGGAGCTCTTCCTCCCATGTTTTCAGGGA